TTTATGGGATTGCGTGAGCAGGGAATGAGTGACGAGGAAGGATTCTGAAATACAGGGAATATTTATTTATGGGATTATGCTTGCAGGAAACCAGTGAAGTGATCCTGTAATATCAGGAATATTTATTTGTGGGATTGCATCTGTAGGAAACCAGTGAAGTGATCCTGAAATATTTATTGGAATATTTATTTATGGGATTGCACCTGCAGGAAAGAAGTAGAGAGAAATTATCCTGAAAGATTGAGATTATTTATTTATAGGATTGCACCTGCAGGGAATGGGTGAAAAGATCCTAAATATTTTGAAAATTTTTTTTTGGGGGGGGAGCTCTTTTATCCCCCACCCCCTTGCACTCCTGGAGAGTTTTGGGATGGATTCCCAGGCACAGCATTCCACTCCAAACACTCCAATCCCAAATCAACCACAGTTCCTGAGGATTTGGGGGATTTTCCCACCACTCTGATCATCCTTCCTGCTCCGAATATTCCATAATTTTATAATTTCCAGTTTAAACAACCCCAATCCCAATACCCTAAGCCTCCTTTTCCTCATCCCAAAAATCTCTGGAATCTCAGCCTGGCCCATCCTGGGCTTTCTTTCAACCCAAACCCCGAAATTCCAATTTTTGGACCCTTTTTGATTGCCCCTCAAGCATTCCATCCACGATTTTCCCTTTATCCCAATCCCTGAAAATCCCTGCAGGGGCGGGAATTCACTCAGCCCGAACTCCCTTTTTTCCAAGGATTTCCCCCTTCCTCCCCGCCTTTTTCCCCCCTTTTCCCCCTTTTCCTCTTATCTTTTGTGTTTTAGGAATTCTGGCCTTTGTGTCCTGGAGACTTGGGATTGTCCTGGGATCAGATTTGGGATTTCCTCCCATCCCTTGTCCATGGAGATCCTTGGACTTGAACTTTGAAAGGATTAAATTCGCATTTAATGCAATTTAAATGCCAATAAATTCCATTTAAATTCCATTTAAATTGAAATAAATCCCAGTCCCTGGTGCCTGTTGCCCAGTTCCCGGTTCCCGGTTCCCGGTGCCCGGTTCCCGGTTCCCGGTGCCCGGTGGTCGCGGCCCGGGCCGGGGCGAGCCCCGCGGCGCGGGCAGGAAGCGCCCGTGGCCCCTCGGGCTCGGAGCCGCATCCGGCCGGGGGCTGCGGGGGCGCAGGAAACGGGGGGGGAGCGGGGAGAGAGGGAGAGGGAGGGGAGGGGAGAGGGGACAGGAGAGAGGGGGAGCGGCCCCGGGCAGCGGAGGCACACAGGGAGAACCTCCCGGGGGCACACCTGGAACCTCACCCGTCATCCATCCATCCCTGCCTTCCTCTATCGCTCCATCTTTATATCCATCCATCCATCATCCATCCATCATCCATCATCCATCCATCCATCATCCATCCATCTGTCATCCATCCATCTGTCATCCATCCATCCATCATCCATCATCCATCCATCCATCCATCATCCATCCATCCATCCATCATCCATCCATGGATTCCACGGCGGGGGTGGCACTGGAGGGGATTTCAGGTCCCCTCCCACCCAAACCATTCCAGGATCCTTTGGTTTGGCAATTAATCACTGCTGAGTGACTAATTGATTGATTAATTAATTAATCAATCACCACTAGGCCCTTGGTAGACAAAAAGTGGTAAATTCTGACATCTTTGAGGTTTTCCCCCAAAATTATGTGGAAAAAGTCACAGGCACTGCTCTGGCATGGATCAGAACTAATTAATGAGTAACTAACTAGTAATTAATGAGTGACACCAATCAGCTCAGCCCTGAGTCACATCCGTCCTGACACTGAAATATTTTTTGGGGCTTTGAGAGCCCCAGGAATGGGAAATTTTGATGAAACTGCCCAAAATTGGGGTGTGAAGGGGTTTGGGAGGGGTTTGAGGATTCCCCAGGGGTGCTAAAACCAGCTCTAATTAAGCTTCACATGAATTTAATTATTGGATAAATTAAAGCCATCGGTCCCGAGCAGGGTGTGGAGCAGTTGTGGCAGATTTTTGGGGCGATTTCCTGATTTAGACAAACCCTCCCCGCTCCCCCCTTCCTCTGCTCCGCCCTGCCTCGGTGACAGCGGCGACACCAAAATAGCGACGGGACCTGAAACTGAAACCGAGATTTGCAGCACCAAGGCTCGGCTTAAAGGGATTTGTCACGGGTCTGCTCTGCTGGGACGGATTTGGGGTTTTTTGGGGCGTTTCCTCCTTTTCTGCCACTGAGTTGTGGTGCTGGGGTGGGCGCGTTTCCCCCCACGCGGGTTCCGTCACTTCACTCACCTCAGGCGTCTTCACCTAATTTTAAAATAAATAAATTTACTTCTTTTGTTTCCTTCCCAAATAAAGGCTATGAAGTGCAAATCCCTGAATCCCGGGACAGGGAATGTTTATTCGTGGGGGTGCACCTGCAGGAAAGGAGTAGGGAGAAATTATCCTGAAATGCTGGGAATATTTATTTGTGGGATTACACCTGCAGGGAGTGAGTGAAGAGAAGTGATCCTGAAATATTGGGAATATTTCTGTTTGGGATTGCATCTGCATGAAAGGGGGGAAGAGGAATAATCCTGAAATATTGGGAATATTTCTGTTTGGGATTGCACCTGCAGATCCCAAAATGTGTGTCACGACATATTTGGGATATCCCAGGAAACTCCCCTTGCCTTGGACCAGGAACAAAACTCAGGAGCGCTTTCCCGGCCACGTTCCTCTTTTTATCAGGAATAAATTTATAGGATAAATTCTAATTTATCAGGAATTAGGAGCAGAAACACCCCCGGGAACTCCGTTCCAGCCCCACGGGCCGGAGGATTCCCCCGGGATCCGGGCCTGCTCCCGGGGAGCGCCGCTGGGCAGGCAGCCGGGGACCTCTGCTGGGAGAAGCCTAAAAATGCCCTTTTTTCCCCCAAAATCGCCGCCGGGCAGGCGGTGGGAGGGAGCCCCGCGGGTCCCCACAGCCGCTGGCCCCGGGGCACCGGGAGAGTGACCCCCGCTGTTCCCGGTCCTCGGTCCCTGGGCGAGCATCCCTCGGTGTCCCCGGGGCAGCAGGGGAAGGGAGGAACCTCCCAGAACTGGGAATAACCCCAGGAGACCGAGCTGTTCCTACAGCTCATCCCGTTGGGATCCCCATCCTACAGCTCATCCCGTTGGGATCCCCATCCTACAGCTCATCCCGTTGGGATCCCGGACCTACAGCTCATCCCGTTGGGATCCCCATCCTACAGCTCACTCCAGTGGGATCCCAATCCTACAGCTCATTCCAGTGGGATCAGGGTCCCCCAGCCCATCCCAGCAGCATTCCCACTCTCCAGTGCATCCCAGCAGGATCCTGGTCCTGCAGAGTCCCACTGGGATCCCCATCCTCCACAGTATCCCAGCAGCATTCCCGTTCTCCAGCTCATCCCTCTGGGATCCCGGTCCTACAGCTCATCCCAATGGGATCCTGCAGCTCATCCCGTTCCCAATGGGATCCTGCAGCTCATCCCAATGGGATCCTGCAGCTCATCCCTCGGGATCATCGTTCCCGCAGTTCATCCAGGATTCCCATTCCCCTCCCGCAGTCTCTGTGGGATCCTCATCCTACAGCTCATCCCAACGGGATCCCCGTGCTGCAGCTCATCCAGGATTCCCATTCTCCAGCTCATCCCAGTGGGATTCCCATCCTGGAGCTCATTCCAATGGGATCCTGCAGCTCGTCCCAGCAGGATCATCCCAGATTCCCAGCTCATCACAGCAGAATCATCCCAGATTCCCAGCTCATCCCAGCAGAATCATCCCAGATTCCCAGCTCGTCCCACCAGGATCATCCCAGATTCCCAGCTCGTCCCAGCAGGATCATCCCAGATTCCCAGTTCATCCCAGCAGGATCATCATTGCCCAGTTTCTTTTGGGATCATCACTCCCCAGCTCCTCCCAGATTCCCATTCCCCGGCGCATCCCGATCCCTCCCTGCATCCCGGGCTGGAGCTGGCAATTCCCTCAAAAAAGGGGAAATTTTAATTTTAAAAACACAGGAATTTTTAATCCAGAGCAATGGGGATTTTTAACTCAAAGAAATAGGAATTTTTAACCAAAGGAATGGGAATTTCCACTCCAGAGGAGGAAATTTGGGATTTTCCATTACTTTTCCCATTTTTGTTTTGCTTTCCTCTGACCCCAACCAAAAAAGAACACAAGAGTGGATTTTATGACCAAAAACACCAAATTTTTGCTCCTTTCACCCCGTTAAAGAAAATTTCCCTCCCTTTGGCTCTCCTGGAAGTCAAATTTTACCTCCAAACCACCCCAGATTTGCTGATTTTCACCCCAAACCAAGCGATTCCAGCCCAAAATTTATATTTTCTTTTATTTTTTAATTTATATTTCTTTTATTCCATTTATTTCCACTGCAGCTTCATCCTCCTCACTCTATTTCTTACTTAAAGTTTATTTTTTTTTATTCTTTGGTAGCTTAAATTCCCTCAAACACCTCAAAACCAAAGCAAGAATTATCATAATTAATATCAGGATGATAATTCTTATTTTAATGATTATTTTTGGGCAGTTCTGCCGCTCCAGGTGCCTTTTTAATGAAAATTTTGAGGTATTTAGAATTTTTTCTCCCCAATCCCCCAAATATTTACAGAACCTTTACAGAGCATTTATTGAGATTTACAGAATATTTACGAATATTTACAAATATTCACAATTATTTACATCCCAACCCCACGCACGAGCAGAGAAATTAACAAAATCTCTGCCCAAAATGTGAATTTTTAATAGAAAAAGTGAATTTTTGGCTGTATTTACACCGGGATAAAAATCTGGGCCACTCCCCCACAATTCCCGAGGTGATTTTATCCCTTGGAAAAATATTCCTGAGTTTTTTCGGGGGGAGCTGCGGGGTCTGGAGGTTGCTGGATTTAAATATTTATATTTATATATTTCTATTTATACTCATATAGGATTTTGAATATATTTCTATGATTTTAATATATATTTCTATGATTTTATATAGGTTTATAAATATAAATATAAATATTCATTCCCAGCCTGCATCCCGTGATTTTTTTTTTTCCAACCGCACCCGCAAATTACTAAAAATTCCATTTTTTAAAATAGAAAACACATATTTAACCCCAGCCGGAATTCCGTGGAATTCCATGGAAAACCTCCCCTAAAATCCGCTTTTCTCGCCGCGTTTTGGGGTTGTTGGGGGGGATTTTTTTGGGAATAACTCCTCGAAAATCCCAATATTTTGCCGAGGGAATTTCCCGCCGCTCTGCTCAGCGGGAGGGGGCGAAATAAACAAAAATTAAAAGTTATTTAACCCCCAAAAAACCGCTAAAAACCCAAATTAAATGAACACCGCTTTAATTCGCCACTTCCAGAGAAAACTGCGCCCGGCAGATCCCAAATATTCCAGGCCTTTAAAATGCCCTTCCCCCCCGCCCCTTTCCCTTATTTTCCTTATTTTTTTATTAAAAAATGGAATTAAAAATTGGAATAAATCCAGCAGGCCGCGTGTGAAGATTTTCCTTTCAATCCTTCCCTTTTCCCTGGCAGCGATTTTTAATTTTGGAATTTTTTTTGTTTGTTTGTTTTGTTTTCGGGCCTAAATTTTGCAGGAAAAAATTAAGAATTTTCCAAGCAGAATCTCCAGGAGGGCCAGGATTTTTTTTCTCCTAAAAAAAACCAAAAAAGAAAAAAACAAAAAACAACCCAAAACCAAACCAAAACAAAACAAAAACCAAACCAAAACAGCTTTGATTTTTTGGTTTTTTTTCTTTTTTTTTTAAGTTCCCAAAGCAGAGATTTGGGGGCTTTGATGGGCTGGAAATCCCATCGGGAATTTCCAAAGGTTTGGAAAGGTTCAAGAGGGGGAGGGAGGGAAATTCAAGCCGGGATTAAATCCTTCCATTCCCGATTTTCCCGCATTTTTTTCTCGGGATCCAAACCTTTTCCAGGGATGATTATCCCACAAATTCCTCACTTTTTTTCCCTTTTCCACCACTTTTAAAAAATATTTTTTAGATTTCCATGGAGCAACTTCAAGTCGCTTCCTCTCCACCCCTCCCGCTTTCTCCCGACCTCCCGAAATTCCCGATTTTTTTTTAAAAGTTGGCGTTTCCTCCCTGCCCCCACACCACGAAAACCCCGCTGGAAAACCGGGATTTTTCCGGATTTTCCGAATTTTCCCCGGGATCCACTCGGCCCGGAAAGGAACGGGAATTTTTTCTTGGCTGAGTGGGAATTTTATTGTTTTAATCCAATTTTTATGGATGAAAAATGAGAAATTAGGGGTTTGAATTTTTGTTGGGGTTTTTTTTTTTGGGTTTTTTGGTTTTTTTTTTTTTGGAGTAGGGTCGGGAGGTCAGGAGGCTCCTTCCCAGTTTTCCCAGCTCGCTCCCAGCTCATTCCCAGTTCTCCCAGCAGCCGTTTCATCCCTAAATCCCTTTCCTGGGAATCACCCCCTCATTTCCAGCGGCGCGCGGAGTTTTTGGGGAATTATTTCGGTTCCATCGCGCCCTTTAACCTCACCCTAAAACTCCTCCCGAACACAACATCCCGCGGCGCTCGCGGCCCCATATCGGCCCCAAATCGACCCCAATCAGCCCCAAATGAGCCCAAAATCGGCCCCAAATCGGGCCAAAATCAGCCCCAAATGAGCCCCAAATCGGACCCCCCGTATCAGCTCCAAACAGGCCCCACATCAGACCCAAATCAGCCCCAAATCGGGCCAAAATCAGCCCAAAATCGGACCCCCCATATCAGCTCCAAACAGGCCCCACATCAGACCCAAATCAGCCCCAAATCGGGCCAAAATCAGCCCCAAATCAGCCCCAAATCAGCTCCAAATCGGGCCAAAATCAGCCCAAAATCGGACCCCCCATATCAGCTCCAAACAGGCCCCACATCAGACCCAAATCAGCCCCAAATCGGGCCAAAATCAGCCCCAAATCAGCCCCAAACCCCGCTCCTCCGAGCAGCCCCTTCCCCACCCGGGGCCGGGCTGACCCCGCTCCCGGTCCCCGGCACCTCCCGCGATCCTGGAATTTTTCCTGCGCTCCTCAGGGATGCTCCAGGCTGGCGCAGCCGCGGAATTTGAGGCTGGGGGGCACGGGGATGGCGCTGCCCCCCAGGTGCCACCGCCACAGCGGGTGCGTCTTGGACAGCGCCCACGAGTTCTTGCCGCCCAGCGACGAGGCCGGGCACAGGTCCCCGTCCTCGCCCACCACCAGCGAGGGCGTGCAGGGGAAGTTTCCCATCAGGCTGAAGGAATTCCGAGGCGGGCTGGCTTTGCAGGGAGCGTTTCCCTTCCTGCAGCTCCTCCGCGGCGTTTTTGGCGGCCTGGCTTTGGGGGAGCGGCGCTGCCCCTCGCTGGTCCCGGCCGGGCGCCGCCGCTTGGCGCTGCCGTCCCGGCGAGCCCGCAGCGTCCCGGTTCCCCCGCGGGGCTGCAGAGGCAGCTCCGCTCCCCTCCAGGGCTCCGGGCTGCCCCGGCCGTGCCGCAAACCTTTCCCGTCCACGTTGAACCCCTTGGCGTAGCACCACAGCTTGGACTGGCGGATCAAGCGGTCGAAATGCTCCGGCCGGGGCTCGCCCGAGGCGGCGGGGCTCGCCCGCAGCTCCGGGGCCGGGTCGGGGGAAGGCGCCGGGCCCGGGGAGTCTCCGCTGGGCCGCTCCAACGAGGGGCTTTTGTTCGAGGCATCTTTGTGCGAATCCTTCCCTCCGGCGTCCCCAAAGCCGCGCTCCTTTTGTGGCGGGGCCCCCCCGGGGGTGCTGCTGCTCGGGGAGGGAGGGGGCGAGGAGGAGGAGGAGGAGGAAGAGGAGGAGGAGGAGGAGGCAGGGGAGGCCTCGTGCCTCGCGTACAGCCCCGGCTGAGCCCCCGGCGCTGCGGCCGCGCTCAAACTTTCCAAAGTTGATGCTCGCAGGGTGCGGGCCCAGAGCTGCTGCGAGAGGAAGAGGAGCTCGGGGCCGGGGCGCGGCGCTTTGCTCGGGGGGGGCTCCGCCGGCCGCTCCTCCCCGAGCGGCTCCCGGGGGGGCTGGAAGCGGGGCAGGGCCGCCTGCCGGTACCGCGTGCTCTGCACCGAGTCCCCGCTGCACAGCGAGCTGCTCTCCGACTCCGAGGAGCTGCCCTCCTCGCTGCTGCACGAGCTGTCCCCTTCCTCCTCCTCCTCCTCCTCCTCCTCCTTAAATG